AAAAAGATTAACAGAATTTATTATAAATTCATATGTGTGGTTCATACCATAGGACTCCAGACCCCCAGAGGCCTATTTCACAAAAGCTACATTTTCAATTCTAGTATAAAGGCAGGCTTAAGAAAGCATCATTAATATGGCTTTATCCCTTTCTCCAAGCCCCATCCAGTGTCAAAAAATCCCTGGATGTCTACAAAAGATCATAAAGCCATATATCATCATATGACCGTTAGCATGGTCTAAAAAAGCTAGCTGCTAATAATAAATTACCATGGCCATTTATGTGTTGCTGCTATTGTGAGAGTAAAAAAAGGCATATTTCAGTCAGAATATCTGGAAAACTCCAGGTTAATCCTCTATTATGGTTTTGTGAAATAGGCCTAAGTTTGTATGACGATATATAAACTATTTCAGTTCACTGCCATCTGTCATATAGATTCTTTTAAAATGTATAGCATAGTAAGAAATTAAAGTTTTATTGTGAAATAAAAATGTAAGGTGTGTGTGGATCATGAAATCTGGGCATCTCCGCTGCCTCAATGACCTGGCCACAGATAAATTTGTATTTGCAGGAAAAGCATCAAACAATGCAAGATAGCGGTTATCCAAATGACTTTTAACATTTTGAAAATGACATTGTTCCTGTATTTACCTTAAGGGAAATCCAAAGTCATCCTCCTATTACCGGAAGAAGGCAACGGCTGTGGACGCCAAATTGTTGTTTGCAGCAGAAAGGTACATGATCTGCAGAAAACGTAAATAGAAGATGCATATTATTATTATTATTATTATTTATTTATTTATTTTTTTTAAGTGTCCTGTCTGGCATTGTGGCAATAAGAATAATTGTCTCGATGCCAAAAGGAGCCCAACAGATTTTACTTTCACAAGTGTAGTGGTATGGCAATTGCCATACCGCTCCACTTGTTTCATGCATATAAATTGCTTTATTATAATTATGCAGGGAGTTTTACAGTTTATATGGACACTGTGATGTAAGTAGAGCATTAAAACAGTAGAAGAAAAAGGAAAAAAAAAAGAAAAAAAAAAACCTTCAACCAGGCCCTTCATGCCCCCCCTTCCAACCTTCTTTGGGGAGGGCAGAGGGGACAGCCCCCCC